GAAACTATACATGAAATAAAATTACTCGAACGATAAATACATTCTTTGTTTGTCCTTTCGATCATGCGAATTTCAAGAAGTTAATCGGATAAAATAAATCTGGCTTTTTATATAAATACCAAATTCGAAATGAAATAAAAATAAACACATTCCCGTAAATTATTCTGTTAAAAACCATTTGTCCGTAATCGTTAATATTGATAATAAAATGAAAATGAATGATAACAAACGTTCCCCTATTTGTCTCTTTATGGTTATTAAGATATCGAAATAGGAAACAGGATAATAAAAGTTCAACATTTAAAATAAATTTTATCGAAGAGAATGACGATAACAATTCTCTTATGTCTTCAAAAATGATGCCGAGAAAAAAGGGATAAGCGTTTCTTTAACAGTGAGCTACTTGATATTTTACAAGGGTTATGCTCGAAATGTTACGAGGTAGCTTTCGTAAGAAGAATACAGAAACGGTTAGAAGGTTATCTGGAATTTTTCTCAAAAATCTTGCCATCTTTTTATCGATAACCGATATCGAACGCGAGAACTGCATAGTTTTCTTAGCTTTGTTTTTTCCCCTCCTCTCCCCCTCCCCCCTACCCCCTATGTATACTCGTAGCAAACAGAAAAGATTGAATCGGGAACGGGGAGTAGTAGGAGAGAGACGGGAGAAAGACAACGAGATCTGAATGTTAAGGATAAAAATAAAGAATGAAGAAGGAAAGGGTAAAAGGGCCAAGTGAAGGATCAACTAAATCCATTGGAAGGTGGGTTGTTTTTCCTTTCTCTTTTTCGTTTTTATGTTTTCTGTTTTATGTTTTTATGTTTTTATGTTTTCTGTTTTTCGTTTTTTTTCTTTTTTTTTTTTTTTTTTTTTTTTTGCAAGAACGTACAAAAGGACAAAACGACATACGAAACTTTCGATCAAAAATTTTGAACATCTTTCATAATTTGTCTATATCAAAAAAGCAAGCGAATGAAACGCGTCATAAGATTAAAAGATATCTACCGGGTGTCTCGTGCTGATATCTTATTGATTTGAAAAAACGTATTGACTAAAATTTGTTAGATTTCTAGAAGGTAATGTAATATTTATTGTAGCTATCTCATAGAGAGAAAAAGAGAGATGAATAGATAAATAGATAGATAGATAGATAGATAGAGAGAGAGAGAGAGAGAGAGAGAGAGAGAAATAGCGCTGTTGTTAAAATAAAAAATTCATCTTATTTTTTTCGCCATGGAAATTAATATTTTCATTCGAACGAAGGATCGTAGAAAATATCAATGGGAATTGAACGAGAGTATCTACGTCATATCTATTCATTAATTTTTCCTTGTGTTATGGCATTTTGAAAAAAAAAAAAGAAAACAAAACAAAACAAAAATTGATCGATGAATTCGTTTGGTTCTTCATCATTTTTTTTTCTCTTTTTTTTTTTTCTCTCTCTATCGTACATAAAAAAAATTCATCCCTATATTTTTCATTTTACAAAATAATATTACGAAATAAGATTTATATCCTGTATAAATCAGTTCAAGATGTAGGAGTCAATATATAGAGATAAACAAATGCACGTGATTGGAACAGGACCATATTGAGAACATTCAGATATCGTAACACTTTCCACGGTGGAGCGGGGAGAGGGATGGTATTGGTTTCTAGGAGAAACCAAAGCAAGTCCTAACAATGAGCTGATGTAAATTTGCTCCTGAATTCAACAATCGGCTATCGTATACCAACCAATAGCCTGGTACTCGTTGCATCTATCGTATGCTTAGCACGCAAATGTTTTGTTTACCTCTACTGACATGACTCGTCGAATGGATTGACAAATACAAGTACTTGTATTATTTGTCATTTAATTTCCTTATCTTTTATTTAATCTTAGTATATTGTCAACAAGAATATCTCTCTCTCTCTCTCTCTCTCTTTTTCTCTTTCTCTTTTGGTTTGAAATTGTCTTTAATCATTCAATTTAATCGTAATTTACATTAATAAAAAAAAAAATATGATACAAATTTACATGTACGATCGATATTTACTCGATCTAATTTATAACATTTTTATTTATTATACATATAGAAAATTGAAAAGAATAAATATTTTTATATCACTCAAACGTATTGTCGAAAGGAAAAAAACAGATTGGCTGAAAAACGTCACTGGAACTATAATTGCATTTAGTATGAAAAAAAAAAAAAAAAAAATTGACTTAACGGTATAATAATGCACAGTAGTTTAATGGAATTAAAGTTTGATTTTATCGAAATATTTGGCGAATTGTTTGAAAAATTTATTTAGAAGTTACTTTTGATAATAAAACTTTTATAATGAGATAGTTTTTATAAAAACTTTTATAGTAAACTTTGATGATGAAACTTTTATAGTGAAAATAAAAGAGAAAGAGAGAGAGAGAAAGAGAGAGAGAGAAGAGAGAGAGAGAGAGAGAGAGAGAGAGAGAGAGAGAGAAATAGATAGACAGAGATATAGTTCGATTAATGTCAATTTTGATTTATTTGTAATAAGGATTTCTACTAGCCCTTCATATTCAAGTAGGTCATCGTCCGGTTAATGAGTCATTAACATTGCTGATCGTGACAGATTTGCAATAGTGCTTCTAGCATGTTATGGCTATAATCTATAAGCCTTGCTAATTATCATGCTCCCTCCTTATATGTTGTTATATCGCATAATGTTATCGGTAGGGAGCAATGAATGGCCAGTTTCTGTATACGTTGAAAGCTCTCTTAAGCTTTGCGAACGATAATGGTTGATACATATACAGTTGATACTGAACTATTATATTTCTTTCGATTAAAGTATATATATATATATATATATATATATATATATATATATATATATATACAAAAGGAATAAATAAATTATTTCGTAATAAAAGGAACATTGAAAGATTGTCAAAATTATATAGAAATATGTTTTTAATTCAATATTTTGTAATTTTATTATATTACAAATTTTGATTATATTATAATTATAATTATAATAATATAAGGTTTTTTTTACTAATGTATATATATATATATATATATATATATATATATATTTATATGTTTATATTAGTAATTAAATTTTATGTTTGAAAAATATTATTTCGTTGTCTATGTAATTTTGATTGAAATTTCAAAAGAAATATTTCTATATTTTAACGTATATAATAAATTTTATATTGCTATATCATATTAATATTATTAAACAATAATTGTTTAAGAATTATTCTTATATTATTATGATCTATATAATTTTATATATTTATTATATTAATAATATGATAATGATTTTATATAAACGTTATTTACGAATATTATTATTTCATTGTTAAATAATATATAATTTTTTTTCTTTTCTCTCGAAATATTTGTCTTAAGTATTTATTTATTTTGAAATATATAAGAAGATACTTTTTTTTTTCCATATATAATATAGTGATAGAAACATTTCTACATAAAATATAAAAGTTTCTTCGTAATAAGATTTTTATAGAGAATCTTTTGCTTGCCAGTTTTACGTACATTTCTGTCATTTTATATATTCTTTCATTCATACTTTGTATCATTTCGTGTTCTTGTCGTACATTTTCGCTTACCACATTTTTGGTCAACGGGAGGAACATAACTGACCGCTAAGCCGTTATTCATCCCTGCTTCATATATTATTTCATAGTCTCTCCCAAGCCACTACGAAAATCCCATGGCATCCCTTTTCCAGAAATGGAAAACGTTGACAATTTTCAATACTTTCTATTGTCTACATTTCTATTTTAATTTTACAAAGTGAATAAGAGAATAAATCATACGTAAATGATTACGAATATAAATGAACGAATATAAAAAGAAATTTTTAAATGAGCATTCAACATTTTATAAATATATTATTACTATAAATATATTATTAATATGTTAATAATTATTATTAAGAGTTATTCTATTATTATGTTTTATAATAATTATATTATTGGAGATGGAAGTAATGAAATAAATGACGTATGCAAATAACATCAAAGAAATAATTTAATAATTCAATAATATTATACTAATTGTGTATTATTCTATGTTATTGGGAGAAAGAGAGAGAAAGAGAGATAAAGAGAAACAGATGTATAATTTACTAATTTAATAATATACTTTATTGATATATAATATGTGGTTAAAATATATACATATGTATGTATGTGTATGTATATATGTGTTTATATGTATGTATATATACATATATATATATATAAATTCCAATTTCATATTTCTATACTATATTATAGAGAATCCAATGTCATATTCTAAGCTTTCAAATGAAGTTATATTCAAATTAATAGATTAATTATTTATCGGTTAAATTCTGAATTTATGAATAAAGTCAAATTTATTGTTATTAATATATTAAAATGTAAAATACGATAAAATTACAATTGGGATATTTATCAATAGCATAAGTTCCTAAAACAAATGTACATATATATATATATATGTATATATATATATAAATAATAAATATATATATAAATGTAAAAATGTATATATGTAAATATATATAAAAATATAAAATGTAAATGTAAATATATAAAAAAAAAATGTTTATACATATATATATATATATATATATATATATATATATATATATGTGTTACATCGAGAATAGTTTCAGACTAATACTTAGAGGGTTGGTAGAGGGTGGCAAAGGGTGGCACTACGGGATGCCGATGGTGGCGATGATGGTGATGGTTTGTCTCTACGACCACACAGCTCGGAATTGTGTCTCGTATCATTGCAGGGAACTTTGAATCTGACACCTCGTCACACTCGAAACATTCCAATATATTTTTGATTTCTTCGTGAAAATCTCTTACGTAAGAATATTTTTCTTACTTATTTATTTTCTTTTTCCTTCCCTCATTATCGTCATTTTCGTCAAATTCGTTTATATATTATCATTAAAATTAATCGCTATATATGTTTGTTTATCGTATATTAATATAAACTTCATGTTTTGTTTTTTTTTTTTTTTTTTGATATTATGATGACTCGTTGAAACTGCAATTGATATTTATACATTTTTTATATAATAATATTGTACATCGTAATAATCGTTTTGTTTTAATCAGGATAGGTTGAATTTTCCTTTTTGAATTTTCTTTTTCTTTTCTTTATTTCCTTTCATCTGAAAGTTTAATAATATATTTCTTAAATTTTGCAAAACATTAAACAGTAAGTCAACCATATTAATATATGGCATTCAATTTTTGTCCTTCTTTTTCTTTTCTTTTTTTTTTTTTACTAGAAAGAATATACACGTTGCTTTTCTCACATAGTAATATTCCAACGAAAATATGACAGTTTCTATGACAATAAAAAATTATTACAGAATGACACCTTAAAAAAAATATCGACGCACGAGTTTAAAACTTGGAATTAATTCGAAAGTTATTTTCATTTTCAATGAATAAATCGTACGATAAATAAAACGTATAATAAACATACGATGTGTAATTATCAAAGAATGAAAAAATAAAAAAAAAAAAAAAAAAAAAAAAAAAAAGAAAAAACGAAATAAAATAAGAATAAAAAAAGTATAAGGAAAGAAAGAGGAAAAAAAATAGGGAACAAATTCTTTTCCCTTGAAATAAATTAAGTGAAACTTTTTTCGTCGTAAAAACAATCCGTTAGCTTCTTCCTATCTACTCTTGCATGATTTTCTTCTTCCAACAGGATCACATCCGTCAAATGCATATTCCCAACTGCATTCAATTCCTTCGCATTGTCCATTCTCGCTACATATATATGTACATATATGTATATATATATTATATATTATATATATACGTACGTACGTACGTAAATACATATGTTCATACATACATACACATACACACACACACACATACACACACACACACACATATATATATACATACATATATCATTTTCTGGCGTCAACATAGCAACGAACAAACGTGAAAAAGTCGCCGGCTTTTCCGCGGACACGTATTTTCTATTTGCAGGAGAAACAAGCCAACCCAAATGCCCCGTGGTTTTTCCGTTGGTAACTTGGGAAAATTGTCGACGACGTTCGGAATATCGAACTTTCAATTTCTCACTCTCTCACTATCTCTTTTTATCTCTCTCTATCTATATCTGTATCTATCTCTCTATTTCTCTCTCTCTCTCTCTCTTTCTCTCTCTATTTCTCTCTCTGTTCTTACTCCGGTCATGTTGACCTTTCCTCCGTTTTATCTTTTTCATCTTTGTTTTCTTCAGGAGAATGCAAATTTTCCACTTGACATATATGAGAGAAAACTTTTCCAACGAATCTAAACGTAGAATATTTTTACACTTAATCGCGACGTATTAATATTGTATTAGAGTTAATCGATCGTAATGTTTTCATTAGATAGCACTATTAATTTTCAATATATATTCATATATTTATATATATATATATATATATATATATATATATATACATATATATGATGTCTTACAAATTATATTAATTAAAAAATATATATATATATTTAAATGTGTCTACGTGAAAATTTTCATAATTTGTCATAATATCTTAATAGTATTCATTACTGTCGAATAATTTCTTAATAAAAAAAATTAATTATTTTATTTGTTATTCTCTCATTTCCTCAAACTTTTTTATCTTATTTATTTCTCTCTCTCTCTCTCTCTCTCTCTCTCTCTTTCTCTGTCTCTCTATCTCTCTTTCTTTCTCTATCTATCTATCTTCATGTTCATTGATATGTACATCAGGAATGGCATTGATGTGATCTACTCTTTCTCACTGTTCCCCATCGATGTTACTACTTGGTGGTAGAAATGACCACGTATACGTGTCGTTGAAACAACAGTGGCCACGTAATGTAAAGCAAATATAGTCGAAGCGAGAGAACGCGTGGATACACATACACATATATATATATATATATATATATATATATACATACATATAAACACAAACACGCACTCCTATACGCATGCACGTACATACAGACAAATATATCTTGCAAATTCGCAATCACGTAATATAACGAATCGAATGTTATTCCGAACGTTACTTCGTACTTCTGCCACTTCTCCAACCCTTTTCCAATATATATATATATATATATATATATATATATACATTTCTATATATATATATGTATATATATATATAGATCTACCCTATACTATGGTCACGCCCGACCTCTACTAAAATGGCTTTATATTCATGCGGGAGTAAACAGCAATAAATTTAAATTGAATTGGATATTTACACGCGCGTCATAAATAATCTCGACTGTGAATGCGATAGCAAGAGAAGAGCCATGCGCATGCGCATCCGTTTGGTTTATTGTGGCCGTAGAGAAAGCTTCGTTGGAGGCTATGAAAAGGGACAGAAAGAGAGAGATAAACAAAAAGAGAAGGAGAGAGCATGAGAGAGAGAGAGAGAGGGGGGGGGGGAAAGATATAGCCGGATTTAAATTACGTTTTCGAAAAGGCCACTGTCATTTCGGGCTGATACATATGTACCTAGATATATACACTAATGATTTGATTTTCGATTATGTTTCTCATCGCTTACAGATCCTATCGAAATTACAACGTGAACGTTCAATTGCGTATTTAATCTATCCACCACAAAAATGTTTCTATCTAATGAATACGTTATTTTATTCATTTCCCCGTGAATTTGAAATAGTAAAAGGATGGAATTCACTTTTGTTGAATTGAACCCGAATCATCTCTCTATTGACAATGGGATTAGAATAGAGTATGCGTGAGATAACTATTTCGTCCAATTTGCTTCTACCATAGCCTGGTCATTTTCATTTGTGACCAAACGACTACCACATTTGCGACATTAAAAGTTATTCGCTTGGAATAGGCACTCGTGACAAATTTTCCGCATATTTCATTTTCTCTCTCTCTCCCCCTCTCTCTCTCTCACTCTCTCTCTCTCTCTCTCTCTCTCTCTCTCTCTCTCTTTTTCCCTAACTCTGTCTTTTTCTCTTTAACTGCGTACATACACGCGTATTTTATATCTAGTAGTACGTATTCACGGTTTGTTGAAAGATATAGAGAAAATGTGAAATAATGCAACGCATAACGATCATACTTAAATGTAATGCCGAAAATTTGAGAATATTCCAACTTAAATAAGCGGAATGAATGTCCATTATGTTATTAAATTTAATCTCTTTTTTCCTCTCTCTCTCTCTCTCTCTCTCTCTCTCTCTCTCTCTCTCTCTCTCTGTCTGTCTTTTTTTTTCTTCTTTTTTATTAATTTTTTTTTTTAATTCATTCATTTTCCATGTATTTTTTCTTCTCTATTATGACAAAGTTCCTACAGTAAGCAAGATCACCGCAGACTAGATCTTTCTTTCTCTCTCTCTCTCTCTCTCTCTCTCTCTTTCTTTCTCTTCCCCCCTCTCTCACTCTCTTTTACTTCGTCTACTCACGCGAAATTAATTTGAATTACGGAAGTATTTAAGCATGTAAATTACGTTAAGAGGCGGTTAAAATAATTTCGCGATAGAATAATGGTAAATGGTCGTTTACGCTCGTTCGGTGTACACTCACGCATACCGTAGGCGATGCAAATAAGGAGACACATTAAGGGCCACTGAAAAATGCTATGATAAACCTGAAAGCCATTCAGTAATCGTATTTTTAAATTTTCCTAAAGCATTATCATCGAATACGAAGCTACTTCGTGCGATAACTTCAAACTTACATAATACTATTTTCATTACTTATTTAGATATTATTTTTCCTTTAATTATTTTCAAAATTCTATTAGGCACGAGCGTTCTTTTTCCGATAAATAACGTGTAACGTACGAATATATTATATATGAAGTCATTAGAAACTATGAAGTCGTTTGAAAATTTCAATTAAATAATCTTGACACGCAAAATTTCTCTCCATTCGATATAATTTCTATTTCGTTGTCGACTTAAAAATTCCTGAGAACTCTTTTCGAACGTTCTGAAAATTTTTAATATTTTTCAAATAATATTTCCGTCAGTAACTTTGACATATACATTTTTCTATTTTCCTTTTTTTTTCTTGCATAATTTAAACGTCAATTCATAAAGCTGATTTCGTTCTACTTTCGCAAGGCATTCTTTTAATTCAAGGAATCCAAAAATATTTTTAAATTAAGCTAAATCATTCATACTTTTAAACATTATAAATTTAATTTCTTTCTTTTTTTTTTCTTTTTTTTTTTTTTTTTTTTTAAAAATAATATTAAATTAACGTCGACGAACATTTTATTCGTCTTGCATTCTTGCATTATTTAAACTAATCCTAAAGCTCAAAACTAATCTTTCTTGCATTTATTAAACTTTTCTCTAATTTTCGAATGAATAATATTTTTAAATTATTATTAAAGTACAACAAACTTACACATATGTACGATGATCCATTTCACCGTATAACGCATAAATAAATCGTAAATGAACAAAGTAAGTTTTTACGGTTTATTTATTTTTAATCGTAGACGTTAATTGAAATCTATCATGATTACGAGAACAAAACACCATTACCATTTATATTATTATATTATATTTTTCGTATATGCGTGCGTGTATGCAAGTAGAAGATAGGGGCTCGTTTGAAAATTACATCGCAGTTACATTCCCGTAAACGTTTTTAATCTCGTGTCAGCGGCAGTTGCCGCAACGCGAAATTAAGTACGCTCGTTAGAGAAGAGTAAGAGTCAGGGAAGGGCTAGAAAGGGTAGGATTGGAAGGTTTGAGGGGTGTGTGCGGGTTAAAGGGGGATGAGAGATGAAGGGGAAAAGGAAACCCGGTACTGTGACGATGCCTCGCTAATGCAAGCAAGATTCGGCTTTGCTACGGGTTCCATATCTTTTTCTACTTGGGCACCACAGTATTTCACATTAATTTGTGATTTTCAATGGGGAGGAAAAAAAAGGAAGAAAAAAAGAAAGAAAGAAAGAAAGAAAGAAAGATGTTGGGTCTCTCATCGGGAACCAACACAACTCCATTTTCTTTGTCATACGTGCACAAGCGCGATAACGCGTGCTTTCTTGTTCTCTCTCTCTCTCTCTCTCTCTCTCTCTCTCTCTCTCTCTCTTTTACCTTTTTTCTTATTCTTTTATTTTTTCTCTTTCTCCTTTCGTCCCTGTTTTTAACTTCACAA